TGTAGCCACCAGAACTAGACACCATCTTCTAAGGAGGTTTGAACAGTACAAAGAGTAGTGAGATCCTTTCCTCACATGATACTTGCTGTGCCTTTAAGTACACATCACAGACATGGTGTTTTCCTTTTTTTCTTTTCTTTTTTTACACTTACATTTGTTTCTGACTCATGATCTGATTTTATTTTTCCTGCCTTCCAGAATGAATAGAAGCTTTCTGTTAGATTACACTTTCTGTGTTAAGCATAAATTTTTACTCCGTAGCATGTCTCGGAATCCATCATTAAACAAACTATCGTTCAAACCGAAGTCAGAGAAAAATACAGAGGTTCAGATTAAGCAACGATTAACCCGTGTTTTAAATAGGAATGAATTAGTAGTGCTTTTCAATTTCCTGCCTTTCTATAATGGTGTGTCTCCTAGCTACAAAGGGTTATTTTGATAAAGTCAATTTCAAGACCAGTGGAGCAAGAGATTGTTATAGGAACATACTGTAGCTGAAACTTGTAGTTCTTTTGACAAAGTCTCTCATTGTGTCTTTGTGTACGAGATGGAGAAACGAGCAGTAGAGATTAGACAGTGATATACCTGAGAAAAGTCACAGTTCAGCAGCCAGAGAGGGATGAATCCTGGGTTCGTGTTGACCTGAGGTGCAGGCTCAGGGGGTGTGGCTTGGCTCACTTTTGACCTTGGCCTGTTTGATATTTTCACCAGTGACTTTTTTATGAAGACAGAACACATTTTTTTTCATAAATTTTATTGGGGAACAGTGTGTTTTTCCAGGACCCATTAGCTCCAAGTCAAGTAGTTGTTTGTTTCAATCTAGTTGTGGAGGGCGCAGCTCCTTGGCCCATGTGGGGATCGAACTGGCAACCTTGGTGTTATGAGCACTGCCCTGCGCTCTAACCACCTGAGCTAACCGGCTGTCCCAGAACACATGTTTTAAAATGTGAAAATTATACAAAGCTGTGTATATGGGCTAATTCATTGGCTGGAAGAGTCAGAATTTTTAAAGATATTGATGAGATTTACAATGGGCTCAAACTGACAGGGAAGTCCTTGACAGAAGTGAAAAGAAACAAACCCCAAATGAACACGTACAGGATAGAGGAATCACTAGAACAGCATTCCCAACACAGCATTAGTACCTCGTGGTAGTCACAGACCTTATAAGTGGGAGGGAAAAAAAAAGGTAACAGTCTTGGGATCACTGAATAACAAGTGTGGGAAAATCTGAGGTCAAGTGAAGTTGGATGTGTTTCTTTACCGACAAGCTTCTTAGCGTTTAATATGTTAACGAACATTAAGAATTTTAAGAGGTGGACATAATGTACAATGGTTCCTTAATTAATTTGACCTGCTTTTCACGAAGCATTTTGCTGGATGATTTGATCTGCTGGGAAACACTGACCCAGAGATTTTAGTTGAGTAGAAACCCTATGTGAGTCTTAGTATAGAACAAATGCAAGTCCAATTATATTGTCCAGAGAAATGGAGGTCCCATCCCAGCAGATGGTGTTTGGAGAATAATTTTCTGAAAGACAATGACAAACCAAGCTATGTCCTATGAAGAAGAAATAAAAGGAATAAGGGATGAAAAGGCATGGACAGACATGACAGCCCAGGTAAACTATTTAAAGGGCTGTGTGAAGGCTAAAAACTTCTGGGTTTCTTGTTGGATAGATAATAATAATGACGATAGCAATCGCAAACACTGACATGGCTCTTGCTATGTGCCAGACACTGTTTCAAGTGCCTTTCACTTGTTAACTCATTTAAATCTTACAACAATCCTATGAGGTAGGCACTATTCATAGTTCATTTCGTGGCAGAAGAAAATTATGACACAGGGAGAGAAAGTTATTTTCCCAAGCTCACACAGCCAGTAAGTGGCAAAACTGGGGTTTGAACTCTCATGGTTGGGTGCTGGTGGATTTCAGCCCAGGGTGACAAGCACTTTGAACAGGGGTCCCTGTACACAAATGTTCAAGGTCATCTGTTAAGGTTATTTGTTCCCGCAAATGGGTATTATTTATATAGTGACTATAAGAACACACTCGCATGGGTTAAGAGTTTGGACTATATGACTGCTGAAGGTCTTACAACTCTGTGGTGCCATTCCAAAAAGATGAATTCACTTGCTTGCATGGTCCCTTTCATCTTTAGGTTCTATAATCCTTTTTTTTTTAATGTTTTTATTGGAGAACAGCCATGGCCATTGGTTACACATTGCTTTCATGCTACAATGGCATAGTTCAATCTTTGAAGGAGGCGCAGCTCACATGGCCCATGCGGGGATCGAACTGGCAACCTTGGTG